TGGCGATCCACCAATCTCGCGGGCGCATACCAGGAGGTGTCAAAGCAAAGGCACAAGAATGAGCTCGAGTGTCCGCAAAGCGCTCACATCGAAGGAAGCGTAAGTTGTTGTTGTCGTTTTGCTTGGCAGCTATATAACATAATGCTTGCATGCTCCGGGCAGAGCAGTGACGAACTGCGTAATCATGGCATGTTCATGTAGTTACGTATTTGTGCCAGCAAGCGCTCAGCGCTCCCACCAAAGACCTGAAAAAACAGCTTGGCCTGGACGCATAGATAAATCTTGCCCAGCATGTTGAAGAGGAGGCGGGAAAGATGTCGCCCTGGCTCCCTACACTGAGACAGTATTGCTAGTTGCTCGGATGTGTACATGGTCAAGCCAACAATACAAGTTACATTTGCCGCCATAGATTCACGGAAAGTATGTATCTATGTGTATACCCGTTTCTATTTTCAATTGATACAATATTCGCTTGAATTGTTTGGAAGCACGTTCCGAGCAATTTTTCCCTGTCTGACGCACTTGACAAGGGGCAGCCCAAGGCTGCAGAGCTTGCCACGTGTTCTTTTTTTATATTCGCTTTGGGTGTCTCATGAGTGCACCCAAATAGCCGTGTGGCCTGCTGTATTTGCGCAGTCCATTTGGGTAGTGTTGGCATTTGGCGTGCCTCATTTTCTCATGGCCGTGTGTTTTGCTGTACTGCACAAGGCCATCAATAAGAACCTGGAAACAGATCGTCGCATTCAGACTCAGCCCCTTACGGGTACCCCGCCGCAAACACACCTGGCTCGGGCAAGTGGTAAGCACAGGCGTCGCCAAAGCCGCCTCATTCGCCATGGGAAAAGATTGTTTTCACTAGCTCCAGGGGAAAGCGGGACTTGGTGAATCTTCCCTTTACATCGTGGCTATATAGTGGCTGTACAATGGTTCTCCCAGCAAGCCCTCGGGCTAGCTTGGGGGCAGTGGAAACCATATAGAAATAGATGGCTCATGTCCATGCATTGCCTTGCTTGCTCTGTTTTGACGGTTCCGCACCCAAATGGAAGCTGCCGAATCACCCGCGGCCGTGAATTCCAGTGTCTCTTGCTGCCCAAATCTGCCAGACCAACCACCCTCAGACGAGGGGGGCCTGGTGGCCATAGTTTTTGAAGGCAGCTCGCGGCCATAGCTCGGACTCAGGGAGGTTTCGTTCTGTCGCTGTCAAAATGTGACAACTGGGCACGGCGTAGTAAATGAACGAAATGAAGAGATGCTGGTGGCGTATTTCTGCATATCTGCATTTGTAGCTGCATTCTTTGCATATGCACACGCATGCGCATGCGCGTTATGAATCACGAGGATCTGAGACTTGCATGCACGGATGCCGGGATCCGGTCATTGACATGAGAGGGTTCAACATAGACTTGACCGCGACAATCGGATAGACTTGTCAGACATTGCCACCAAATACACTCCTAACTCCTACCTTTACGTCATTGTGCTGCAGTTCTGTTTAAACCCAGGCCCTGTTTGTGGCCATTTTGCCACATGCGAACCTCCCAGTTGCTGAGTGATCCTTGTTTGTATTTTGCTTGGGCGGGAACAGCTGTTCAGTTTCAAGTCACCTTGTTCCAGCAGTCAAATGGCATCCTGTAAACCTCTGAATCGCTTGGTTTAGCGGGTGTCCCGCTCCATGGGGAACGCCAGAAAGGGTCACCGGGAAAGCGTTTCGAGCTTTATCTCCAAAGGCTCGAAGCGTTGCGTTTTGCAAGCGTAGGTGTGGCCTGTTCAGGTCAATTTGGATGCAAGTGGTGGCTTCCACTGGTTCTTGGTTCACAGCTTCCAGGGAACCATTTCTTCAAAAAGTGGCAACTGTTGCAACTCTGCAACTCAGACTTGCAACCGGGCCCCTGCCTTCGGGCATCACAATGCGCCTGACCGGCATCCGGCATGTGCGATGTTGCGGGCCTTTGTTCCGGGCAGTTGCAACGTTCCGTCATCAAAGCACGGGCGGTGGCAATCGTTTTGCGCGGGGCAAAAGGCAGCGTCGGAGTTCCCGGAGCTGGGGTTTGCCTTTGGATTGCTCTGACCTTGGAAAATCCAGGCCTTTGGGGGCTCCTGCAATTTGGGGACGGTCAAGAGGCAAGGTTTGGCAGGTCGGGGGGGTTCAACCTGGAAAGGCTTACAACCGTGTGGTGCTGTGAGATGTTCTCTTTCGGAGCTTCGCATGTTTAAGTGGAGGGGGCATCCTAGAGGACAGCATTGCATGCTGTAGCTCACCTGCGAAACAGATGTCTCCAGGCCATTCCAGGTCATTGCTTTGAGTCCAGCTGACTTGGCAACCTGAAGCGCCAACGAGCCTTGCAGCAGCTGCAAGCTTGCAACTTTGGTACGCCCATCTAGTGCAGGTTCTGTCGCATTTTTCCAGTAAGAAAACCACATCATCAGCATGTCTTCCACTCAGAGGTGTCATTTTGCTGTTTGGGATGGTTTAAACTTGGCCGGGGGGGGTACTTTAACAGGGGCGTGAATGATGCCTGTGTTTTGATGATGCACCACATCTTTCGGACGCCAGCTACGGCGGCCTCACACATGCGCATCCCTGCTTATAGGCTTGATGGCGTTCTCATTTCCAGTTCAAAAGCATGGTAATTTGGTGGAAGTTGGAAGCTTCACCCCCTTTCCCCGTGAACTGCAACATGTGCTCACTCTTCTTGCACGTTGCAGTTGGGTGAACGTAGAAGGCACAATTCCCCTATCCTCTTTTACCCCAGTATAAGTCTACAGCAACTTGTCGGGACCTTGCTGGCAGCTGGTTTCCTTGTGGTTCCCCTTTCTCCATGCCAAACAAATTTAAGCAATTGACCCTGGCCCTCGTTTTTTCTTGGGTTCAAAGTCACTCGATCCCCACCCCCTTAAATATGGAATTCGGGGAGGGGGGTGACCCCTGGAATTCCATTTCTGGTTCCATTTCCTTTGTAAGGGGAAGACTAGATAATTGGAATTGGGGACCCCCCACCCCCCTCCCCTTTATGGTAGGGGGGATGTCACTTGCCGGAGAGCGGTTTCCCTGGTTGCTTCTCACGGCGCTGAGGCCGCCAAGCTGATCTCGGGCGCTTACTGCTGGGGCACCCGTCCCGTCGGAGTCCATGCCTATGGCTTTGGCCCTGGGAGTCCACAACAGTGGTCTCAGAATGGTCTCCCTTTTGTTTCCCGGGGACCCCCGCATAAGAAGAACAAGAAAAAGAAGAAGTGGTGTTCCTTTTGGTTTCCCGCTCACACTTACCAACAAGGGGTACCCTCAACAAAAAAGACAGACCCAACATACTTTTTGGGTGTTTCCGTTTCAGCCACCACGGTAATTTTGAGTATAGCGCGCTACTGATTCTTCGGGACCCAGCATAACTGTTGTCCCCGTTCTTCCCGAGTGGTTCAGGGCCCACAGGGTCCACAGGCATCACCTTTGGTATAGCAGAGGTATGTGTCAAAATAAAGCCCCCCCCAACCCGGCGTTGGTGTTTTGCTTGTTGAGAACAACGTCCCTGTACAGCAGCTCTCAATCAAAAACGGTACCCTGGACAAATCACACGCCGTAAAAAGCGCGGAGAGACGAGCCATGGCTCATTTTCGGAACGAGGCGATTATGGGCCAGGGCCACTCGCAAAGTTGTTGCGGAGACCACGGCTTTCAATACGATGCCGTTGACCCTGAACGATGTCCATGTGCAAGTATTGTCGCCATCGGCGCCCTTCCTGTAATTGGTGTTTCCCTTTGCTTTCTTGCAAGCAATCCTAGAACACAGAGAAAGAGAGAGAGAGAGAGATACTGTTGGACTCTCTTTAATGTGACCCCCCTCTGAACAGTGGAACCAGTCGGCGGGACTCTCTTTAGTGAAATCCTGGGGGTTTGGGAGAGGCAGTACTTACTTTAGTTACTTTAGTATTGCCAATTCTACTTTAGTCTTGCCAAAGCTCCGTCAGATTTCCAGTACTTGCTTTAGTATTGCCAATTCTACTTTAGTATTGTCAAAGCTGACTCTCAGATCCCCAGTACTTACTTTAGTATTGCCAATTCTACTTTAGTATTGCCAAGGCTGACTCTCAGCTTCCCAGTGCATTCTTTAGCATTGCCAATTCTACTTTAGTATTGCCAACACTGAGACTCAATTAAAGGCGCAGGGGTTACACCGAAAATTGGCCCGAAGACACGAAGACACGCATCTTCAGGGCTTCCGGGCTTCAGGAAGACACGAAGACGCGCATCTTCAGGGCGATCAGGGCTTCAGGGAGTCAGCAGAGCTTGGGCGAAGACACGAAGACGCGAAGACGAAGCCGCGCATCTTCAGGGCTTCAGGGCTTGAGCTTGAGGGAGTCAGCAGAGCTTGGGCGAAGACACGAAGATGCGAAGATTTCAATTTTCAGCAACCCCGAAACCAGCTGGACACCAAAGAGAACCCCAAAACAGTCGCATTAAAGAGGATCTGGGCTTCTTGTAAGCACCCCCCTTTGTTCGACTGTTTGCCCACACTTCTTTGTAAAGAAGTTCTCGTAAATTTGATGGTTTGGGGACCACTTCAAGAAAAGGATTTCCAAATGTTTGCCAGGATTTGGTTGCCCGTTTTTTTGGCCCGACTTGTTTGCCAAGTTTTTTCATATTTTCCCAGCGTTGTGTCCGACAAACAACTTTCCATAATAGAGGACCCTTAAAACAGTCAAACAATCCTGAATTAGAAAAAAGTCTGTACAATAGAGGGTACTTCTAAAAAATGAGGTCTAACATTACAATGCTCACATCAGCAACGCTCAATATTCGACATCACATTGACATGCTGTAGTGACCCGTCGGAAAGAGTGGTTACTTAGCGAATTCTCATGCGGGGAGACAATGAATATTGACTGTAGCCCGGTATCAAATTCTGACCAATGCTTCAAGTGTGTGCCAAGAAACCTTGGAAAGGACCTACATTATTAATATTCCCCCCTGGATGCGGCAACCAAAGCGCACATGTTGCATGCGGGGCTGCTGAGGCTACTCTAGCTGCAGCCTCGTGTTTTTATTTTATGAACGGGTTTGTGGCCAAATGGGCCATGAGCATACAAATTCCTTTGGGCCTTCCTTCAAGCAAAGTACAGGCATTCTAACATGCTTTCCCAGCTTGTAAAAGAGAACACTAAATAGAGGCGAAGAAGTGGCGGTGCCAGCCGCAAAGACTACATACTGAGGCGGAGGTTGTTGCGTTTGACAGATAATTCCTCACTCGCACGTATTTATTGTGGCAATCACCTGGAGTTGCGGACGGAATAAGGAACGGCAGGATGGAACAGCCCGCAACGGTTTCTACCTCTTTTGCTGTTTAGTTTGGTTTGCGGTTCCAAACGGTTCTTTTCCGGACCAACATGATGACGCAACCTTTCCGCCCTTTGGGCTGGGTCCTCGAAGTGATGGGAGGTTCCCAAGAACGGTCTCAGGGTGGTTTCCCTTCAAGCCACTGTTCAGAGGGTAAGTTTGAGGATTTTACTTCGGCGGATTCAACAGGAGGCTGAGATGATTGGGGGCTTGGGATTCGCTCAGGCGATTGCTGCTGCCCCTTGAACTTGGATGAGGAGTTGCAAGCGGGCCGATGTGTTGGATTTGTGGGTCTGCCAAAAAGTTGCTGCTTCAGATCTGATGTGTTCTGGGGTAGACTTAGTCGACTTAGGATACATTTTACATTTTATCTGTGACTCAAAGTGAAGCATACAATAAAATATACATTCTATAACTGGTCCCCAGTCTAATCATGTGTTTGGCTCGGCAGGAGCAGCGTGCAGGGCTGCCAGCACTCCAAGAGTTGGTGGATGCCAAAGCAGAGGGGGCGCCTCTACAAATATGGCGTTGTTGGTGTTCCCCCCAAAAAAGCTATAATGGTCGTTTTCACTGTTCCCAAGCATATTACTGCGACACACATTCCTCAAAGACCTTTCTATAAATTGTATTTGTTTTATTCAAACAATATACAGGGGTGCTCAAGGAAGTGCTGGCACTGTCCTGCAAGGCTATAAATGTCTGAGCAATATTTGGTTTACCTTTGAGTCGCATTACCGGTCCTTCACAGGAGACCTGGGTCGTTGCTGACGGCATCCGCGCAGACCACGGCTACGCAGTGGAGGAGAGTCAGGCGGTATTCCGGGATTCACTGCTCCATGTTAACTTCTGAATCCTCCACAAGTTCCAAAGGACTCCTCAACAAATCACAAGTGGATGTCTATACATCAATATCTCTATATATATATACAAATGTTTGTTGGCTTGTTTTGCCCCGCTACAAGTATTTTAGCACCCAACCCCACATGAGTGGATGTATGTGATAAATCAGGGGTCGATTTTCCCTTTTGATCATTTCTCAACACCAGTGGCCTCCAGAGTCTATATGTTGCTTCCACGGCACCACCTCTCGTGCCGAGTGGCAAGTTGGCACAACAGTTCTTACCTTGCATCGCGCTTTTGATTTTGTCCGAGCTCTTGCCGCAGGTGCGCACGCGGACCGGGCACAGGAGAGCCGGGGAGAAGTGTGGCCCATGAAATTGCTCGTGTTGGCAGACATCTACATAACAAGAAGCAGGCGGTTCACTTGCTTTGACCCCTTGGCCATTGCGCGCGAATGACGTAGAGGGTGGAGTCCTTCGAGTTGTGGCGCACAAAAATCAAGATTTGCGGAAGCATCTGGCGAGTGAGGAGCCGAGGTGTTTTCGTGATCCGGGGGCCAAGGTGTCAAAGGTATGCTACCCGCTTTGGAATCCCCAAGTCAGAGTCTGTTCGGCAGGAGCATCGCCTGGATCGAGGGAGTGGAGGTCTTTGTGGAGAAGAGGACGGTTTCGCAATCGCTACCCTTCCGCCGTTGAAATGGAAACCCGAGAGATGGCCCCTAGAGGAACCTGGTCTAACCAGGGCCGCACTCCCCGCGCCTAGTTGGGTTCCATGATGTTCCTTGTTTGCGGCTGTTTGCCAGTTCGTTTGGCTAGTTTGAGTATGTCATTTGTATTCATGTGTTGGTTTTGCCGCAAGTATTGTTCTTGGTTGTCAACCCTCTTTTGCTGCTAGGCCCAAGGCTGCCAGACCAGAGCTTCACCTGATGTCTATCAAAAGAAACCGGAAGGGATCGATCAAGCCATTTGTCCGATAGCCGGTTTAACCCTCCACTCCGTGTGCATGCAAACGAATCAATCAGCCACAAGATGAAAACGGGTTTCAGCTCTCTTCCTTACTTGCACTGTTTTCCCGTTTGTTTGTGTTACACGGGACTTTGTGCACCTTGCACACTTGCACATGATCAAGCTTTGCAGAGCATGGTTGTTTGCTATGGACAATGTTATCGAACCACTCTTGGGGTTGTGTACGCGTGTCAGTTCCATTTGGAGTCAGGCCAAACTACCCATGAAGGGCCAAAAATAACCTTCTCGCAGGGTTGGGCCAGCCCCTTGACACATGCAACCGGTTCTTGTTTATCGACCCTCAGGTTTTCAGAGGTTCAGAGCCTGATTGTTCAATCCATTTGGCTGATTTCCTGTTCAGGAAGCTGAACCTGGAGCGTACCTCTGTGAACCTCAACGCTTGGACTTCTTTGCTGGCGCACTTGCATCTCGGACTCTCGAGGGCGCAGAGGGTTGGGGCGGGGTTGGGGGTTTGCCCTATATGTCCACGTTTGAGGGGTTTAAACTGGTTGTAAACATACTCTTTTGGTCCGGTGTGTACTGGAATTGGCCTATTCATCAGGGTTTCCCTTAATTGCTTCTGGGTGGTTTTAAGCATACTCTTTTTGTCCGGTGTTTAAATGAGTTTCCGTGTGATGGGAATGTAATTGTTGGCAACCCTGATACGGCAAAGCCCCATGGGGCCACTCCAGACATGAGACACGATCATGTTGGGGCGAGCCGTCTCGGTTGGGCTCAAGGCAACTAAATTTGTCAGTATTTGGAAAGGCCAGCCTTCGCCATAGACCACGACTTTATTGTTAAATCATTGGCAGTCCTTTCTGCAGTGGTTTGGTATGCGTTGTGGCCCTGCCCATGACGGCCCTCGACAACCGCATTCAAGTCTGAAAGATGTTACTGCTTGCTGACGGAAAGGTCGCAAGAACCCCTTGGCAGCAGGCAAGTTCAAGTTTGGACTCCTTGCCTGGCCAAAACAGATTGACGAATCTATGCTTATAGTGCTTAGGGGACAAATGCAGCTGGGCGTAAAAGTTAGTTTGCTCCAGGACTCCTGGGTGCAAACCCAACGTGTCCATGAAAAGCCTCAATAATGAAAGCAACTACACACTGAAAGGTGCTTCTGGATCACACATGTCTTCTTCAGTGGACAGATCGAGGTGCTTTCGTTTGTGCAGGAGGCACGCACCCATGCCCACCAAGAATGTGGTGACTTTTTCAATCCAATAAACCCGCCTCCCCTGTATTTCCCATTCACGGCCAGAGAGTCGTGTTCAAAGTGGGAGGGCCCGCTGCTCTGAATTAACCGGCCTTTGCAACGGCCCTCAGGCCGTTGCTTTGGACACCCGGGAGTGTGGGTGGGAAGAGTCGGTTTGAAGAACCAGCCCCTTGCCTGGGAAACCCGCACAGCAGATTGCTTGAACGCGGTGTTCACAGAACTGGCTGGAACGCCACCATTGACCCTAGTGCCAATTGGAGGCGAGTTTTGTGCATTCCACGTGTTCTTTTCGGTGTCGTGTTTTTGTTTGATACTCTTTTGGTACTGTTTCCATCTTAAAGTTGATCCGCGGAAGCATTTGCCAACGGTCTGCTCTCCCTGCCCAGCTGTGGCTTCGCCGCCATCGAAGCGGGTGGAGCGCTGCAGCACATGGATTGGTTCAAAGAGTCGCCGCCCCTCGATCCAAACGTGCGCTCGGGCACCGGGAGGGCGCCCGCAAGCGCACGGAGCGACGTGAAACCCATGAAGCCCCTTTCCAGAATGGGATGCGGGCCTGGGGGCTGTGAAGTGGCCATGATTCCCGTCTGCGCAAACCCTGGATGAGAACCAACACAAGCTCATTCAACTTCCCAACACCCAGGATGTACTTCGATCTTCACAACCTGGTTAGTGACCAAGTCGTTTATCAGAGTGTTTTCCCAGAAGCGGGAGTCTTCACCAAGTAGGGAGGCCCTGGCTTTTCAGCTACAGTTGCTAGGGTAGAAGAGTATGTCAGTCCTGGGCCAGCATGCAGTGGCCCTTTTGGCAACGGACATCGGCTCCCTTGGCCGCCTCATGCTGACGCCTGTCTTATGTGACATGGGGACGCAACAGAAAACAGCAGAGCCAGTAGCCTTGGTTTTGCACTTCGTCAAAAAATATGCCTATCTTGTTTGCTGCCAACTAGCCTAAAACCCGCAAAAGCGAGGCAGCAGGGGATGGATCAATGTCATGTTCTCTGGTCCCCTCCCAGACAATAATCACACTCATTAGTGTCGGAGTTTGGTGCTTGTTCTGGCGCAGTTGTTACGCAAAGAGGTGCTGTCAGTACAGGTGTGTGCTTCTCGTTTCTCTACAAGGCATGAGTGTCTGTTAGTGAAGGGAACTGGGTCCACCATTCCATTGGATTATGCTGCTGTCAAAGCAGGTCGGAGTTTCGGTGTCAGCCGGGCAACCTGCATGCACGTGACTCAGCGGGCACTGCGTCCCAATCCTCAAGATGTAAACACCCCCTGGCATTAGCCATGCTGACCCCTGTTTCTCAAGGTTCCCTAGTTCTCCTTGCAAATTGAAAAGCCTTTTTGAGCGAGGTCCCAGTTTGCTGCTGGGAATCTCGGCCCTTGGGCACTGAGGATCCGTGCCCTTGTTGCCGTTCTCATCAACCAGGCGGGGCCCATGCATTTCAGCCCCGAAGGCAGGAGACCGTTGACCCTTCCCTCTTTGAAAGGAATAAACACGCCGCCATGTCCTGCACCTTGCGCATTGCACGTTGTTTAGTCCAGTGTCGTGCCTTCTCAGCCTCAAGAAACGTTCTCATTTTGTGCAGAATGTGCAAGAATTGGCACAGCCATTGAGTATGAAATTCCTCGTAACGAAGACAACTTGCCTCGTGGTATGCCAAACTGGTCAACCAAAACAGTTGTCAAGCGGACAGCCTTTGGCTTCGTCTTTCGGCCTCCCTTCTGTGAGTTGCCACTTCCCTCCAACAACTCGCCAGCTCAGTTTTTTTTCATGAGCCTCAAGCGGGCATGGTGACTGAGCTGGGGTCCCTGCGTTGCTGGGCTCGATAATCAACATGCCACTCTTCGGCCGTTCATTTACGAGTTCATTTGCTGAACTTGGTTGACAAAACCCGGGACCCTCTCCTCCTGCATGTGGTTTCGTGTTTGTCCAGCTTAGTTGCCCCTGAGCCCCGGTTTGCAAACGCAACTCCAACCACTGACGAGTCGAGTCGCCTTTTGCCTCAGGTCAGCATCGGAATCCTATTTCGCGGCATGGACCTTTGCCGGCCGACACCTCAGACAGCGCACGCCAGCCTGTGGCGACGATGATTGGCTTCCCCAAAGGCAGCCCAAAAGGGTTTGGTCATTTTGCACATTTTCCAGATCCTCTACATATTGGATCTTTTTATCCAGAGAGGTAGCAGGTGGACATCAGACCATGTAAATGATGCCACCGAAGGGTCGCCAAGCAAAAGCATGCGCATGTGGCCGTGCTGTGCAGGTCAAAACCAGTTCAAGCCTCCAGATAGTTGCGTTCAGAAGCTGATTTTTGGGCTGACGACCAAAATACACTCCGCACGTGCTTGCTGTTCATGGCGACGGGGCTTAGTCTTTGCACCCTGTGGCGCGACTTAGGTTTGGACCTTTCTGAACTTCTTCTGGGAAAACTATGTTGGCAAAGAACAGGTTTGTATAATCCTGGGTGAATCGACGCAAGTGGTTGCCCTCTCCCCTTGCATACGGAGACCCCAGCTCAGCTGGCAAGGATAGCCACCATCAACGACCAGGGGGACGAGCGCGTGGCCCTCCCCTCAGACAGCGGTTTTTCGGTGACGTGTTATGACTTTTTGCCCCCTCGCCAGTTTGACCATGTGGGGCGTTGCTTTCGTCGAGTGCGCTTTTTCGTAAAAGGGGAACCAAGAGGACACCACCCATTTTGACCTTCGTCCCTTTCACAAATCCAGCAAATCTCTTTAGGGACGAGCAGCGTCGGATGTTAAACCAAGAAGTCTTGGGTGTTCGGACCGTTATACTATTAGAACCCCAGCTGCATTGGGTTGCTCACTCGGCTCGCAATGACGTGGCGGTGGCCATCTGCAAATCGCCCTGAGACACCCTTGGCGGCTTTGTGCGTATGGAGAACTCAGCCATATGGGCGGTTCCAAAAATAGGTCATGTTCTTGACTGGAACGGCATGCAAACCCGCATTTTGGAAGGGGACCCTTTTTTAGGGAGGCACCCAGGTGCGATTTTCTCACCGTTCACATTGCTTTGCCTCACCCCAAGGCAGAATTTCAATCCACACGTCGTCTTTGCCGATCAGTTGTTGCCTTCGGCCAAACAAGCATGGAACCCACCAGAAGCTGCTTGGGAACATCCTTAGGCTCCATGTGAGTGGGATGGTGCTAAGGACAAGTTCGGTCATGAGAAACATGTTAGCAGTTATATTGCTCCTCATTTCAATGTCCAAGCAGCACGCACCTTTTGCCAAGGTGTTGCTCAACGAAGAGATCAAGGAGGCCAATCCCGACAGTGCATGGGAAATAGAGTGCTTGAACAATAGCTGGGCTGGGTGCTAAATGGCCCATGCAAGCGTCGTTTGAGGAAACCCCTCTTAGGCTGGCTCACAGGCAATGTTGAGCTGCTGTGCCCCCCTGCCTCGCACACACCGTAATTAGTTACAACAATCTAGTTTGCTTCGTTCCCTGGTTCATTCCCGGCATTCAGCATTGGGTCTCATGCCCTTGTGCGCACGGACCATAGAAGCTTCTGAGGGCCGAAATATGGCTTGTGCCACTTGTCTAACTTTGCCAACCCGACGCTATTTGTTGAAAGGAGACCAGGGGCTTGGTTCTTCCGTGGCTCTCAGTTTGCGAGGCAGAGAACGACATCATCAGTTTGGCCAGCTCCTTCTTGGTGGTGCAGGTGATTCGATTTGTGCTTTCAGGCTTGGGAGTTGGAGCAAGTTGGAGCCATGGAAAGTTCATGGCCTTTTTCTTAGTGGTTCCTAACTCACAGTCATTAGGCTGCAATGGCTCCCCCTTGCGAGTCGGGTTCGAGTCAAATATGTGATTAATGGGTTGCACCCCCCAATGCAAAACTAAACAGCTAAGTTAGGGGTTTATGAATGTGTCAAAGCCCATTGAAGTGACATCCTCAAAACAAATCCCGAGCGAAATGGAGGGTTTTCACCGCGACCCAAGTAGTTTTTGCGACCCCTCGAAATACAACCACTTTGACCCATTTGGAAGCTATTCTTGCCCGCCCTGCTGCACAAATCTGAGTCATGTGCGAATAACATGGGGGAGCAACTGGCTAGCAAGCATGATGCCCTGATATACATTGACGGGATACGTGCTTGAGCCTTCAGAAAGGGAACATGTTTTGTTCAGGGAAGAGCCACGGCCAGGAAATGGGTCCCGAAATCCTGTTGGGCCCACAGCCTCCGCGGCAGCTTCAAGGGACCCTTTGGGCTAAATGGCGCGTCACCGCATCATTTCTCCCGAAGAAACAGGATTTGTTGCAAAAATAGATTCCGACCTGTCGTTGAGTGCTACTCTTTTCCCTTTGCGTTTTTCCTGCTTCTTTCCAATGAACAGAGTCGACCCCACAAAGGCTCTTTTTCTACAGCGCCCTGAACAGAGAAACTTAAAAACCCACGCAAACGTAGGTTTGGCCATTTGCTCAGGGCAGCTTCCTGACAATGCACCCTGGCAGCTGTGGGCGAGTGAAACGATTTCCATTGTCGCAGATGAGTGTTGTTTCATTTTTGGGGCATTCCCTTTCAGTGGCTCGTCCAATGTTGTGAGACAGGCTCATTTGTTGCTCAGGTGGGATTGTTCCGAGGTATGCGTTGCCTTTCGCTCCTGAAAGGCAGGAAGTCGAACAAAGGCCAAAAACAGACAGCAACTGTCAGGGTCCATCTTTTTACACTTGAGGAAAACCTCAACCCGGGGTTGTGGCCGCTGCCCATCGACGGCCATTCAGGGCATCTCGTTTCGTTTCACCGCAGGCCATGGAAGGGTGGCCTGCCTGCCTGCCTGCCTGCCTGCCTGCCTACCTGCCTGCTTTCTTGCCTGCTTGCCTGCCTGCCTGCTTGACTTGCTTGCCTGCCCGCTTGCCTGCCTGCCTGCCTGCCTGCATGCCTGCCTGCCTGCCTGCCTGCCTGCCTGCCTGCTTTCCTGCCTGCTTGACTGCCTGCCTGCTTGCCTGCTTGCCTGCTTGCCTGCCTGCTTGCCTGCCTGCTTTCCTGCTTGCCTGCCTGCCTGCCTGCCTTGCCTGCCTGCTTGCCTGCCTGCCTGCTTGCCTGCATGCCTGCCTGCCATTTTGCTGGCTGCCTGCGTGCCTGCCTTGCCTGCTTGCTTGCCTGTCTGCCTGCCTGCGTGCTTTTCTGCCTGCTTGCCTGCCTTCCTGCCGTCCTGCCTGCCTGCCTGCCTGCCTGCCTGCCGTTCTGCCTGCCTGCTTGCCTGCTTGCCGGCTTGCCGGCTTGCCGGCTTGCCTGCCTGCTTGCCTGCTTGCCTGCCTGCTTGCCTGCCTGCCGGCCTGCCTGCCTGCTTGCCTGCTTGCCTGCCTGCCTGCTTGCCTGCTTGCCTGCCCCTGCCTGCTTGCCTGCTTGCCTGCCTGCCTGCTTGCCTGCTTGCCTGCTTGCCTGCTTGCCTGCTTGCCTGCCTGCCTGCCTGCGCCTGCTTGCCTGCTTGCCTGCTTGCTTGGCTGCCTGCCTGCTTGCTTGCCTGCTTGCTTGCTTGCTTGCTTGCTTGCCTGCTTGCTTGCCTGTTTGCTTGCTTGCTTGCCTGCCTGCCTGCTTGCCCTTTATTGTTCTGCCTTGCTTCCTTGAGAGTTTTGCGTTCTTTTGACTTTTTCCCAAAATGAAACAAATCTCCAGCAAACTGAAGAAACAAGACACGAAGAAACAGCAGACAACTGCTCATCGCAGGAAGTGTTGGGGTTTGCCCCAAGCTTTTGTTTGGGACATGTGTCTGAGGTTTTGTGCATTTTGTGAATTCCGCTCTTTCGCCTGTAGGGATTTGTCGACCGCATTTGCTTTAGCCTCGGAGCCTCTGCTTTTGCAATACGCAAAGCATTGGCCTTAGGCTAAAGGATGGCTGAGAAAGTGCAAAAACCTCGAGGAAGCCGAAAACATGTTATTTTTACGAAGAAAAACCCGGAGCGGAAACATCTTGACCCATGCATGAAACCTTTTCTCGGCTGTTGTTGTTTGGCTGTTTTGCATTTGTGAGACGTCCCTACACCAGCATGCGCAATACACCTTTCCTTTGCAGCAAAAACACACGCCCCATGGCCCTTCTGTTGATGTGATGGTTTAAACTGTTTAAACAGCACGTTTTTGGCAATTTCCACGTGTGGGGTATTCAGTACCCCTTTTGGCAGTTGTGTTGGGTGGGGTCTTGTTTAAAGGGTGTCCTGTCCCCAGCGTGAGCACCCAGGAAGGCCACATGGAGCCATATGTGCCGATGGGCATGACCGCCCTCGGCCAGTGACCCGGCAAAGGTTTGCAGCTTTCGGCCCCTGCTCCGAATCAAAGTGGTTTGACAGGATTGGAGCTACATGCAATTTCTGAACTTGATGACTTGCTGGTGACTCAAATGGAATACTTGTTGAATCATGAGGCATCACTCCAAGCATGCTTTGGGCTGGTTTTGCGAAAGGGAACAAAACGGGCACCCCCCTCCACCAACTATTGTCAGAGAGTCCCATCATCTTTCTAACACTCGCAGGTTCCATGTTCGTGGGTGGTACATGTGTCTAGTGATCAGCATTTCTGGCCATGGAATTCGGAATGTCCTGTTTTGCTAAAGCACAAAGTGCAGGTTCTTCTTTCCCAGACATGCTCACT